CTAAGTTTTTATTGGTATATTCCTCAGGAGATTAGACAGAAGCCTGTAGCCTTACAAACAGAAAAAACCAATGAGGGGTTGGATCAAGTAGCAAGCGAGGGGTTGGATCAAGTGACAAACGACTTGTTTCAACTTAAGCAAGGTTTCGAGTTCGAAACCTTGTGTACGCAGCAGTTTTCGTTGGGAGACCGACCCACCATTCTGGTGCGCCATAGCTGGTCGAGCCCGGATACCGGACGGGAAACAAAAAAAAACAAACAGAAAAAGAGGGATTCAAATATTAAATTCAAGCAATGCCGGTGCTATAATTATGTCATATTTATGTTGATTGTAAATAATTGATGCATTGTTACGTAAATATTATCAAAGATTCTCAAAAACCAGGTACGAATACAAAAACCAGGTACAAAATACAACAATGTATTCGTCCAAAATTTTCACCTCCTAGCAATTCTTTGTCCTGCTCCAAGTAACAATGCCTTGCCAATGACACCTGAACGAATTCCAAAAACCAGTGCCACTCCACCTACAACAATCCACTTCCAGTCTACACTGTGATCCTTCTGCCTTTTGATGTCTATAACCTGACCATCTCGTTGGTAAGAAACCGGCTCCAACGTATCTCTGCTTCCATCAAGAGATGTTTTTGTGGTGATTCGTGCCATGAGAGCACATCTGGACAGTGAAGCGTCCAATCTCCTGGCATTCTGGTATGCTCTCATGCCAGTGTGCAACTTCTTTACAGCACCCCACATTCCATGGCGGAGACCCAACTTTGCCACATCTTTGGGGATCCCCATGTCTTCATAATGGACGAGAGTGACCTCACATGCTGATAACTGACCATCTCCTTTTTGGGACTCCACTGCATTATTCAAATGTGTAAAAAATATGCACCTAACAGTTGAAACCATAAATATCCAGAAATACGGACATTAGAATAGAAGCGCTAAAGGACAAATCTTACCGGCCCTGATGACCCAACTGGAAAAGTAGAGGTCCACACGCCTTGGCTTGTCACGCTTATTTAGACTGGGATATGGAACACTCTGCAAACAATGGTAGATTGAATTTTAACAACCATCAACAACATGCTGAAACATGTCAATATTGGATGTATTTAGGATTCTATATAGAATGAGATTGGTCAGTCTGCCTGCAGGAAAGAGAAAGAAAAAGGGTGGGCACATCTGCTCTTAGGTAATTTGGTGTGTCGATTTGATGTACTGAAACTAAATCAGACTATCCCCAACCCTCTTTCCTATCCTAAACACAGTGCTTGGTCCTTCATAAAATATGTAATAACTATAAGAAGCTCCAAAGATCAAAGTTACAGCTCAAAATTAAATAACAGAGCTAAATGTCTCGTATAGTACCTTTGTCACGCAGTAATATGTCTTCCCAGCCTCCCAAATTTTTCTACCAATGATATATTCTCGATCACTACAGAAAAAGGGGAACTGCATGAAGATGAAAAAAATCAAAGTATAAGTTCATATGTTTTTCTGAAAAAGAAAAAGGCATAAAAACAGCTAAATATCAATAAACAAGATCATGCAAAACATTCTTCAGCAGACCTTCTTTATCCAGTGGATAATCATTGTGCCTGTATTGGTATACTCCTCCAATATTCTGCAGTATGCAAGCATGGGATCCCATTTGGGCCGAAATTCATCATCCCAGAAGAAATCCCTGACCAACTCTGGAGTTGCATCCTCAAAGACGGTTCTGCTGCGCAAAATTGGAGGGCCAGTCTGGTAAACAAAATTACTATCAGGTTGGGATGCAGGTGGTTCATATAGCATTCAGGTACAATGCAGTGAATTTTACAAATAAAATAACCTATAAGGCACACATGCCATCCAGCAGTTGGCACCTTTGAACCTAACAACCTTCCATGCAAAAACAAAATAACTGATGAGGCTCAGACTTCAGTAGAGACATCAAACAATATAGCTAAATTTAACAGGAACAAATACAAATTTTTTATCATTTTTTCAACACATGAACTTTATGATAAAGTGAGATCCAGGATATGAGAATATGATACATTAGGAATAAACCATTTTGATAGGACACAGGCATCAATTCAAAGTGTCATACCCACACATATCAGCTCCAAAATTCTTAAGGGGCAAACAGTCAAAACCTACCTCAGGCTCATGGCGCCAAGCTTGGTATGCCATATTTGGGGTAGACCTTTCCATCATAGTCTGCCAATCCACCTCTCCATCTCTCCCTTCAAGTAGATAGAAAAGGTGCTGCAAATCATTTTCTTTAACAATATCCTGCGCTCTCTGTTCAGCAATAGTGTTGCTGATACTGCAGAGCAAGGGGATAATCATGAATAAGTTCATAGATGAAAACAATCAAATCATAATTGCAGCAGAACAAGAATAATAAATGCAGAAAATCAAAAAAAATGCAGTCCAACAAGCAAAAAAGAGAGCAACATTTGCTTCAACAGTTGCAGTCACCAGCTAGTTTCAGTTCACATATGTTTTCAATCAGAAAACTTCAAAATCTATATGGTAGATAAACATGATCAGCAAAATATAAAGAGCATACTAATCATGAGGAGGCAGTCATACAGTCATACACAAAATTAGCTAATAAGGTTCACAATTCAATTGATCAACAAGCCTCCCAACGAAGCTCTAATATACACTTGAGTAGAAACAAAAGATGGGTCATGAAAAACCACTATTAAACCCCAATCTCCTTGTCATGTAATCCACCATGAAAGAATCAACGTTATAGCAAAGAGCTAAAGAGAAAATGCTCTGATTGGTTGAAAAAATGGTGCGTAAGTTCTAATCACCATTGTCCTTGACCAGGGTCTCAAACATGCCTAAGATTTCCCAATCACACTCATAATGTTAGACTGTTACTGACCGGGTCACAATATAATTTCCTACAAATTCTAACCTAAAGGCTAAAAGAATACAAACTCTAATGCTAATAAGAATTACATCTTCACCACCGTTGGCAATATGCATTTTTTAGATTCATACTGGTGTGCCAAAACTAAAAAACTTGCGCTTTGAAGTAGTCCAAACTCCAAACAAAAAAAAAAGGAGTTCTTTAGGAAAATTGAAAAGCAATGTATAACCAATTAAGCATTCAGGAAAACCATCAAACCAGAAGACTAACGATAAAAATATTATTGAAACTTCAAAAGATTGTGATCCCAAAATTATATATGTAGCAACTCACTGAGATCAATCCAAACAGCTTCCCATAAAAGAAGAAAAGTATATAACATCACTATAATACTGACCTAATGGCATCAGAAGCCACCTCCGGCAAACTTCTAGATGGCGGCGATGGGGGCGACGATTGACCAGCCGAAGCCGAAGCCTAAGCCGAAGCCGAAGCCACAGCGGCCGATTTCTTGCCTCTCTCTCTAAAATTAGACCAAATAGTACGACACACAGAGAAAGCGGAGAGAGCCGTAAAGGCAAGCCAGAGCCGGCGCGCCCCAAACCCCGGCGGCGCTGTCCAGACGAACCGGAATTTAGAGCGGAGGCCTAAGAAGATCAGGCTGGTCCACCTAGGACGCCAGGACCAGCCGATCAGGAGTCCGATCATGACGGCGAGCCATATCGGCACGGCACAGAGCAAAATGTCAACGAATGTCTCGGTTATTGTAGGTTTCTTCCAAAACTCCATCAGATCGAAGACCGTCTCGTCCATTTCTCCGGGCGAGACGTCGAGATCACCGGATCTAGGTCTTGATATCGGCGGGAAAATGGCGGGCGATTCCGATTCTGTTCCTCAAGAAATCGAACGACATGGATAATGTGCCCCTGCGAGGGATCCAGGAGGCCTCATTTCCTGTTTGAACTTTGGAAAAGAGGAAAGAAAGAACAATAAAAAAAATCCCAATTTTTTTTTTTAAATTATTTTCAACGACGGTGGGAAGGAGTTGGCGGCGGATAAGGACGTTAAGGGGAGACGTGGCGGTGGCAGCGTCGTTGATGGGAGGCACGTGGAGGGGATGGGAGTGAGGGTTTAGTGCACGCGAGGGGGACAGAGTGGGATTGAGGAGCATGTGAAATTTGAGGATAAGAATTTTTTTTTTTTTTTAACATGTTGAGGATAAGATTTTTGAGGATATATTTATCCGATGTTGGTATAAGGAGAATTTTTTTTTACTTTTTTTATATAGTTTTTATATATAATTAAATTAATAAATACAAAAAAGTGTAAATAAAAATAATAATTTTATTAATTTTTAATATTGACATTAATTTTTAATTTCTTTATTTAAAAATCAATTAAATGATAATATTAACGTAACAAATATATATTAATATTAAAAATTGAATCTTTAAATAAAATAATAAAAAATTAATAAAATTAATATTTTTAAATAAAAAAATCACATAATTAACATTTTTAATTATATATTTTCTCATTAATAGATACATTATTATAGATATTAAATAAATAAAAAAATAATTATTTAAATAAAACAATAAAATTATCTAAAAATAATATAAATAAATTATTTCTAAATTACTTTCCATAGTAATAATATAAGTAAACCACTCAATGCTGAACTAGACGCCGTTTCAGATGCCGGAATACTGGGGGTATATTGCTCCTTGTCAGTTCCACGTGGCGGTTATGCATAGTTTTTCTTTCCCATAAAATATCTCGGCGTCTAAATGTCTAATCCTAAAAATTGTTTTGGAACTTTATGGTGGAAAATTGTGGTGAAGTTAAAGATTATATTAGATTGTATAATAGTAATTTTTAGATTGGTTTTTTTGTTTTTGTTTTTGTTTATAAAATAAAAGTGTAATAAATATATTTTTTAATTAATTTTTATTAAAAATGTAAATATTAATTTTAGTTTAATTAATTAATTAATTAAAATTATTTAAGTATTATTGATATTAAAATATATGTTAATTTTTATTATAT